TTTTTTAAACTAAATTTTTTCATAAAATATATGGTAGATAAGAGGATATATGTTTACAAAAAAAGCAATTACATGTACAAATTTGTCAAAATTAAATGATTCACGCAAATGACATTTTACCTTAAAATATAATGTTTCACAGGGCACTAAATTGAACCAAATTTGTCACCGTACATTTTCACAATTTAACTAGTACGCTGTTAAATAAGATACTTGTACATGAGTAAAAGGGGCACACTGGTCATGTTTATTAAGTCAACCAGTGCAACTTCACAATTTAACTACGCTGTTAAATTAGGTACATGAGTTAAAGAAGTACAAACACATATTTTCTAGTTATATTATGCATATCTAACTAGATTTTTCTCATTTTCTTCTTTGATTCTTAAAAAAAAACCACGTTGAATGGGATAAAATTAACAAATAAAAAACCCATATTTGAAATGGGAAAAAAACAACAACAACAAATAAAAAAAAACATTTGAAATGGAAAACAATGATTTCAAATGGAAAAAAACAAAGAAGATGCTTGTTCAGTCCCTTACCAAATCTATTTTCTTGATCTGAAAATATAAAAATAAATGTTTGCGTTATAAAATTAATTTATAATTTTACAGTACATATACAATTGTATCGAGAATACTAGTCTCCCTATGGGTATAATACACCACTCCATGTTACAGTTAAACAACTCCATGTTAAAGTCGATTGACTCCGTGTTATGTGTAAACGAGCTTTTAAAAAAAAAATTTTGATACATTTCTAACAACGTGAAACATTTATATAAACGCAAGTTCGAAACGAATTAATGTATTTTTTATACAAAGTCTTTAAATATAAATGATTAAAAGACAAAAATCCTATTCAACTCCAGGCGAAGGATAGTTTGTAAGGGATAACTCAAGGTTTTCAAATGAACCAACCTTTCTCTTAATGTTTGTTTGTTGATTCTGCTATTTATATATTCAGCTTTCTCAATCCATTCTTTTTCACATGGTATGTTCTGAAATACATGTATATAAAAGTTATCAATTTAAAAGGATAAAAGTTGTGTCCCTTTCTAAATGAAATTGTTCTGTAGATATTTAGATATTTACATTAATGTATCTAACATTCTTATATACATAGGATTACTTATTCTTATGAAATTTGTATTTCATATTATTTCATTTGTGATGAAACAAGGAAATATAACAAAACACTGCATTAAATGTGAATGAGTATATTGATAAACGTGTATATGGAATATTTTCTGCACGTATGACGCACATGCGCAAATCAAAACAAGCGTCTCTCGAAATATTTGCAAACGTAATTGTTTGACCTTACGGTTGATTATTATATGTTCACAAAATAAATTTCAAAACTTACCCTTAATTTATTTTAATTTCATTCTATATATAACTGCTTTTAAAGTTCAATAATAATAATAATAATACAATTGAAATATTCTTACCGATGCGTTTTTGAACTTGTATACACGAGATGTTTGCTTGTAAATTTTGGCGGCAATTCTGTTTATTTCTGTATCACTATCAAAAATGAAAAGAGATTATGTTACCATAAAAACTGTTAACAATGAAATTCCTTAAATTGATAGCAATTACAGCATTTTGTCAAAGATTCTCAAAATCTAGACATTTTCTTAACGAAATAATTTAAAATTATAAATATTAAAACTAATATTGATAAATTAAAATACATTTAATATGCACTTTTACTAAAGGTAGGATCAATCAATCAATCAATCAATCAATCAATCAATCAGTCAGTCAGTCAGTCAGTCAGTCAGCAGTCCAGTCCAGTCCAGTCAAGCCAAGCCAAGTCAAGTCAAGTCAAGTCAAGTCAAGTCAAATCAAAACAAATCAATATTAAGGTCTGTGTTTTCTCGTCTGAAAGGTTTTACTTTATTCAAAATATTCCAACTAAATGAGAAAAGTTTCCGAGTAAATGTTACATTATATATTTTTATAATTAATAACTTCACGTACCTCAGTTTCTGATTGTTCTTGTACATAAATATTCGGATGGTGTCATAAAGCATCTCAACAACATCACGTTCAAGGTCAGAAGACATCTGTTAACAAAAAAGATGTAAAGAGGTTTGTTTATATTTCAGCAAAATTCAAAAACGGTATATTTCATGGTATTGGCTTGAACTTTTTCTTTCTGATCTATATTAAAAATAAGATGAACACAAATATGTCAGACCTGATCATATAGCCCCGCCATACGTATTGGTAATAGGCGAAATGTTCCGAATGGACATTATATATAAGATAAATAGAGACCTGTCTGACCAACAGCGTTTGTAATTCTTGTGTAACGTTCCTAACCTTTAAATCATTCTAGAAAAAAATTACAAAAGAACAGTCTAGTGCCTCACCTTTTGAATTTTCTCTCTGAAACCTATCTCATCTAAGAACTTTTTCTCAAACGCAATATGGTCTTTCTCGTGTGTGACCATCCATTTGTTATGTACTAATTCCATCTCCTGTAAATAAAGTCATAGAACTATATGAAAATAATTCATTTAATTTATGAATTAATACCATATCTCATTTAGTAGATACGTGTCCAAAAATTTGTAAAAACATAAATTTTCAGTTAAGAATATGACCCAATATCGGCTATAAAATCATAAAAAATTAAATGAGCCGCGTCACGACAAAACCAACATAATTGGTTTGCGACCAGCATGGATCCAGACCAGCCTGCGCATCCGCGCAGTCTGATAAGGATCCATGTTGTTCGCTATTAGTTTCTTTACTTGTAATAGAGTTGGTTAGCGAACAGCATGGATCCTGATCAGACTGCGCGGATGCGCAGGCTGGTCTGGATCCATGCTGGTCGGAAACCCATTATGTTGGTTTTGTCGTGACGCGGCTCAATTATGTAACACGTACCTTAATTGCTGCCTCTCTGACTTCAGCCTCGTTTTGGTTATAACGCAAGGCAGACCTTTGTGTCTCTAAAATCAACTCATACTTCTGCAACTTTGCTTTTGACTTCCAACAATTCTGTAAATCAGTAATATTTTATAGAAAAAATACCTTACGAATCAAAATAAATGGCCTAAGTCCAATTCTGACAATAATTCATGCTTATTTACATGAAAATCTTGAAATGCATTTAATAGTAAAATATTTGCGAAGTGAACAACGAAAGTTATTTTCACAATGCAAGCGGCACTTACGTTCCACATAATTTACCAAAAAGAGGCCAAATTATTAAGAAAAAGCCCGTTAGTCACGTAATAGAAATATGATAAATACGGCGAAATCAGTAAGTCATAATCGCACATAACATGTAAATTGTTACTTGAATCTTGAATCTTTTTTACTTTTCTTAAGATGTTTGTATATTTTTCTCAAGGCTCATCTGGAGGCATGCAGCTTTAAGGCTATACATGTACTTACAATTCTGGCTTCTCTCAATGCAAGCAGGGCGGTTTCGTGTTTCTTAATCAATTGTACAAGTGTTCTCTTGCGTTCTTTCAAAACTCTGTGCGTCTCAGAGGAAAATCTATATTGACAGAAACAAACAACAAGGCTTACTTTTCAACCTTTATCTATTCATATATTTTAATGAGATTCATGAAATCAGTTGCAAGGCAAACATGTATTATTGAAAATTACTTACCCGGTATGTTATAATTTCGTTGTTACATGTACTATAAAGTCAATAAGAATTACTAGAATTAATTTAAGGACAGCGATTTCGAATCACTTGAGCAAATTAAAACGTCTTATTATCTCAGTGCAGCGTAAAAATGGAATAATTGTATCATTCAATGCAAGCCTATATACATAATTCAACTCGTATCATTTATTGCGAGCACAATCACAGTTTACTTCCGATCACTTGAGGTTGACAAACTTTGTGAAAATGTTAGATAGATAATATTATTATAAGACATATAAAATCTTACAGAGTATCAAAATCTTCATCGGTACTGATGATATCATAATCTTTTCTAGAATGATTTAGAACTGAGTTTCTCAAAGTTCTCAGGAAAGCGGTTAATCTGTTTTCTATAGATAGAGACAGGAAGAAAGAGAACAGATAGAAGTAATAGAAAGTAGAAAGAAAGAAGTATATAAAAAGAAGGCGTAAGTAGAAGCTTTATACTCCACATTAAAATATTTCTGTAAAGATCATAATAAAAAGGACGGATGTTGAAAATAAGTACAGTATTTAATTTTAAAGTTCGTAGGTTCGATTCCCAACATAGGGGAGATTGTCTTTCGACATCATCGATAATCTACATTCTATAATTTTACCGTTACTGGCCAAGAACGAATCTACAAGAAAAATGTGAGACGTCTAATAAGATCTAAATGATAAGACAAAACTAAAAGAACATGAACTTAATTAAATACATTCTAATCGCTTGAAAGTTTGTAAGTTTTTGAAAATCACAAACAACGCTTAACTTTCACTGCCTGAAAAATCGGAACTGTACTTGGAACGAAACCGGTTAATGCAGAAAAACTATCAAGACTGGAAAACCTGTAATTAATTAATTAATTAATTAATTAATTAATTAATAAGTAAATAAATAAATAAAAAGAATGAATGAATAAATGAATGTATGTACGAATGAAAGAAAGAAAGAGTGAATGAATGAAAGAACAAAAGAAAGAGTGAATGTATGAATGAATAGTTAGATAAATATTCACCAATTAATAAATAGATAAATATATAATGAATTAATTGGTCGACAGAAATTTTAATAAATTAACAGAAACTGAATGAACGAAATAAAGAACGAATGAATCAACACAACGACGATTAAAAGAACGAGTGAAAAACTTATTACCAAATACTAGTAATATAAATAGATAATGGTGACTCGAAGATATGATTCCATTATAAGTATTGTTTGATCTTCCTGCGTTAGAGTTTTTTTTTCCTATTTAACAAACCTATAATGAAATAATTAAAATTTCACTTACATCCCTTCATCTTGGGTCAGGATAGATAATTTTGGTATAAAAACTTCCTCCATAACTGACAAAAATCGTAAAATATCGCTGTCAACTGCTAAGTGAGTAATCTCTCTTGCTAATGCTTTGACGCTAATGACAACGTCGCTTAGAAACGACGTCAACGTCATGCGTAAATCACGTCGTCAAATCTCGTATAACGCGATACCCCCCAAAAAATATGTTTAGAAAATAGCATCGTTATTCACACCGTTTTACCGGCGCCAGATAGCTACAGTGATGAAAGAAATAAAATATTGTACACGATAAAACATTCAAAAGTATTCCAGTGGTATCACGAGTTAGAGTGCAAAATTTTTGTTTTGGGGTGATAATAAAAATAAAAGAAGAATCCCTAAAGGAAGTTCATAATAGAATAGAAAAAACACTTCAATAATGCCATTCTATGAAACGCGACGTATAGAACCTAGGTTAAATAATGTGTGTGCCTTGAACGAAAAATAAATGAGTGAAAGTAGATTCTTACTACAAATGTAATCGTAATTTTGAATGGGGACCGACACTGTGACTTTCTTGCTTTATTGGCGGAGGGAGACATCAGGTGACCATTAAAGTATTATTTAAGACACAAGCGATATGACTCCTAATGGTACCGTAGAATACACTGCGGTCAGCGTTATATTGCGTGCGGCGGAAATTTTTTTTTACATGACACGATAATGACACTGTAATAATGTGTAATTATAATTATTGTGCTTAAACAATACCAGTATACGTTTTCTTCCGTTCTAATCCCTTTCTAGTACATGTAATAATTATATAGGCCTATATAGATCTATAAAATGTAAATTATGTGAAATATTTAAATAAATATGTTAAAACTTAAGTAATAGTTAACTGGCTATAGTGTTTTTAATGGAAATCTATAAATTTTATATACTGTACAGAAAAAACAAAATGCCGCTCTAATAACGAACATGCTATGCTTAAATCTCCCGGACAAAGTGCTTGGGTTAGGGCTTTATGTCTTATATTTCTGTAAAGAAGACCCTCCGACTAATATACTGTCCGTTAAAATGGGCGGGGCTTATTTTTGATACCTGATATTAAAAATAATAATCAGGCAAGTGTTAGCCTATCGGACAGTTACCATAGCAGTTGCATGATAAAACAAGAGCTGTCAGAAGGACAGCGCGCTCGACTTTTTTAGTGCTTGCCTATAAAACAAAACTTTGACAGTTAAGGGCACACAAGACTTTAACTAGGAATTTCTAAGTACAAATCAAGAAACATTTTCACAGAATTATCTTCTCTTGCTTACAGATAGGTCTCATGATGGCACATAAGAACTCCAACTTCCAAAGTAATATCTCAAATGGTTAGGTCAACAAGTGGACAAGAATGAAAATTTTAACTGAGTTTCTAAGTCAAAAAGGGCCATAATTCAAATAAAATCCTTAACAGAATTACCTTCTCCTGCCCATGTTTGGGACCATGATGGTAAACAAGTATTCCAACTTTCAATTTAATATCTCAACCAGTTCAGTCAAAAAGTTGACTGGTACAAAAAACTTAACCAAGATTCTAAGTCGATAAAAGGCCTTAATTTTTAAAACAAATCCCTGACAGAGTTACCTTCTCTTGCGTACAGATGGGGGGTAATGATGTGAAATAGCATTAAAAGTTTCAAAAGCAATATCTCAAAGGGTTAAGGCAATAAGTGGATTTTACCCATATTCAATGTATTTTCTAAGTCAAAAAGGGGCAATAATTCTGTCAAAAAACCTTGACAGAGTTATGTCCTCTTGTCTGTTGATGAAGGTCGTGATGGTAAACAAGTATGGTCAGTTTTCAAAGCAATACCTCCAATGGTTTTGAAATAAAGTGAGGTGGTACAAAAAACTTAACCAAGCTCAATACACTTTCTAAGTCAAAAAAGGGCCATAATTCTGTCAAAAACCTTGACAGAGTTATGTACTCTTGTCTGTAGATGGAGGTTATGATGGTGAACAAGTATGGTAAGTTTCAAAGCCATACTTGTAATACTTCTGAAATAAAGTGGGGTGGTACGAAAAACTTAACCAAGGTGTGACGCCAACGCTAACGCCGACGCCGACGCCGACGCCGGGGCGAGTAGGATAGCTCCCCTTTTCATAGAAAAGTCGAGCTAAAAAAGGAATCTGCAACGGAATGAGACAAATGGTGCTTCAAAGGTAGGCATGAGGAAATGGTGATTTTACACAAAAAAAAATTAATTACAAAAAAAAAAAAAGGCCGGTCCTAAAAACGAAGACCACGCAATGCGGAAATCTACTTGACATATTGTTTGGGGTAGGGCTTTGGGTATTATATATTGTGTATAAGAACGAATCTGAAAAGAAATCTGACAAATGTTATTTAAAAGGTTGATTCGAGAAAATGGCCATTTCCTTTTTTGAAAATTTACACACTATACTGTATATACGGAAAGAACATGTCGGCGTTCCAGAAAACGACTATGCCATGCGGAAATCTCCTGGACATATTTCTTGTGTTAGGTCTTTTGGCCTTATATTATGTGAGGAAGACCCTCTAAACTTGTAGACAGGACTGATTTTAAGAAAATATGAATGCTAGAGGCATTTTATAGTACAAGTAAGTAAGTAAGTAAGTAAATTCTTTATTATAGTGACATGTGTTATACGTATATACATACACATAAATACACAAAGATAAACACCCGGCCCATAGGACCTATAAGTCACCTTAACAAAATAACATATTCTGAGCATGTGTTATAGTTTTTAACATGTTATTAACATAATAGTAAATTCATATCAATACATGTTATGCATTTACGGACAGTTCAATTTCAATTAATCATGATCTATTATACAATAAATCTCTCCTTAACAGATATGCTTGTACAATAAATTTAATAACTTTATTTTGATGGTTGTTTACGAGGTAAACTAGTTTTTCATTGTCTGCCATTGTATTAAATAAATTGTTTGAAATAACATTTCCAAAAACAACAGTTCTTATATCATTGTAAATGGGACACACAACAAGGAAATGAGCTTCGTCCTCAATTTGATTTGTTTGGCACAAATTACAAAGTCTTTGATTAGGCAATTCTCCGCTATATCTAACCGGTTTTTCTATTCTTAATGGTAGGATACCACATCTAAACTGCGCGTATAATGAGCGTTCATTTCTTTTTAAATTTAATAATAAATAATTTTCAACATGTGAAGGATGTCTTAAATAATGTGTAAGGTCTCAGTTTTGGTACGTTTTCAAACAATCAGTAGTCCATATGTCTGCGTAATATTGAATCATTTTTGAATTGGCACAGTCCATATTGATGGCCAATTTATTTTCAAAATGATCACTGAGGTCTAATTTCGTCATTATATTCTTCACTTCACTGCACCAATTATTTATTGTATCACTTTTCTCATAGTCACAGTTGAATGCCTGTTTCGTAATCCTATTATTAGGTAACTTCACAAGTCTATTCCAATAACGGATCATGCACAAACCAACGTCTGTAATTACACGGTATCCAACCTGTTTCACCTGAAAGCGCAAGTTTTGGAGTAAATCTATGAACTCCAAGAAATAGCGAATGGCCCGGTTTTTGTGTTTATCTGACGATTGAAAGTTTCTATAACCCAAACAGAAGCACAATAGTCAAAATGGGTAATCACGCAGGAATTGTATAGTTTCTGAAATGTTTTAAATCCACAGTTTTTGAAATAATGTATTTTTGATATAAATTCCACCAAGAGCACGACCAGCACTCTTTGATAAAGCTTCACAGTTATATGTAAAGTCATGTTTATCGTGGAGGATAACACCTAAGTATTTATATCTGTCTACTGTCTCTAAAAGAATTATCACCTATTTTAAATATGTGAATCACATTGCTTTGTTCGTCGTCCTTTCCGGAAATGCATAACCTTTGACTTTTCACAGTTAATCAACACCCTCCACCGCTTGCACCAGTTATGCATGGTATTAAGCATTATCTGTAGATTTTCGGAGTTATTACTGATGAGAACTATATCATCCGCATAAAGTAGCATTGAGAGATTGATGAATGTTTTCATTCATTTTAATTCCAAGGTGAAGGTCATTAATTTCCTGAACAAGGTCATTTACGAAGATGGCAAAAAAGTGTCGGCGACAAATTACACCCCCTGCTTCACTCCTTTCGGGCAAATGAACCAGTCTGTGAAGCCTGTTATTAATGCGTACACATGAAGTAGAACTACTGTATATATTTTTTATCGAGTTGTATATTTTGCCGTCAATCTTGTTTGATAGTAGTTTGTAGAGCATCATGTCTCTGTCAATGAAATCAAAACACTTTTTTAGATCAATGAATGCTGCCATAACGGATGTATTGTTTCTTGTGATACTGTCTAAAGTGAAAATGTGATCTTCGCACGAGCGATCTTTGCGGAATCCATTTTGCTCGTCCGCGAGCATATCGTGCTGGTTTAAATACGTAGTTATCCTTTTGTTAATAAAGGCACTATACAGTTTACTGATGCATGAAAGTAAACTAACCCCTCGATAGTTCATAGGTAATCTTGCATCTGTAGTAGCGTCTTTCAAAATAGGGCATATAATAGATTTTCTCCACGGTGTTGGTATTAACCCAGCAAACACCCGACGTTGACCCAACGTTGGATCAACGTTGAATTTTGGTCGCGACGTCGGTGACCTTCATACAACGTCAAATCGACGTCGAATCCCCGACGTCTAGCAGACGTTTCATTTTGACGTCGACTCGACGTCGGGTTTTGGTCAGTAATCTGACAAAAGGTGAATTTAATTTATGAAACCAATATATATATAAATGAAAGCATAAACAGCGAGAATTTTAAGTTTAAGTTTAGAAAGGGAACATTATATATTTATTTTCTCCATCAAAACAACAGTATCACGTGGGTGGCTAACGTACGATTTTCGATAGGTGGCGCTCTGTAAACGGATAGTCGCAGATCAGTATGAAATATATTTACTCTATTTTCGTTTAAATAATATCTTATCTCCTTGAATTAGTCTAAGAAATGTTTATATAATTTACAATGAAGCTGTTATCATTTTTGAGGGCTTCATTTTATAGTGGTAAATAATTTAGTAAATTCGAATTTGCGACTTATCGGATTTGAAATTC